GTGCTCTTAAGCACTAAGCTACAGGACTCCACGATTTAGATGCTTAAAAAGCATTCACACGTGCACACGCACGCAGGCATTATGCAGCGTAGTCAATGTGTGGGCCGATTAAGCTGTGAAGGGGTGACATAACATTGCAGCTTTCAGAAAAGCAACCCCACCTCAGATCCAAACCAGGTGCCGTCAGCCGTGATCAGGCCTCGGTTAAACAGCCTAGACAGCTAAAAGTGGGAGTGTTAAGTGCATATTAATTAGTCTCCCCTTTGATATAATAATAATAATAATCCTTGCATTTGATATAGCGCTTTTCACATCTTCGAGACGTCTCAAAGTGCTTCACAGAATATACTGTCAAGTGAATTGACTATATTTTGTGGGCGAAACACAGCAACCAATTGCGCACAAATTATTATTGTCTTTTTCTTAAGGCATATGGAGTAAGGAAACTTGCCCAAGGTTTCGCCCTGCCGGGAATTAAACCCACGTCTCTCACTTGCGACATAAGTGCTCTAACCACTGAGCTACAGGACTCCTTGATAAGACAAAGTCTTTCTCCAGCCCAGCCAGGACATGCACTCACTCACCCACGTCAAAACAATCTTTTAGTAACTACCAGGAGAGATCATTTGTTTAATCTCGTCAAAGTATGTCCACAAAACATGCAGTCAATTCACTTTACGGTATATCCTGTGAAACGCATTGAGACGTCTCAACAATCTGATCAGGTGTTATATCAACTGCAAAGATTGTTATTATTATGAAACGGGCATCAGCTTTCCCTCCATTACTCTAATAAATTGTTGACATAGCGTCACCTCAGACCCAACTCACACCACTGCTCCAACTCCCTTCCACTTCAGTCTCTAGAACCTTAACAACATAAAAGAGCATGGAACAAGAAACCGATCCTTACTGACAGCCCAAAATATCTCAGCATGAACATAACACATTCTTGACCCATTTGACGCAAAATAATCTTTAATGTACCGATGTGGAACAAACACTGTTAAGTGACCTACTTTCATTGGTGTAAATGGTCTTTTAGTTACCGTTGTCAGTAATCTCTTGAGCCATAGTGTGAGTGAACAGCAGACTGATTGAGCTTTGACTGTCATGTGAGAAATCACACAATGAAAATCTTTCTTTAGTTGTTCTTAAAGTGCAACAAAAAATCTTGTCTTTGGGAAACCCAAAGTTGTACATCACAGGCAATAACTTCCAAGGTTATAGTCTGGCAGTATGTAGATTGTGATTTTGCAGATCATGAGGCGGATTTAAAGAACTGGAAGCTATCGTGTTCTGTACGTTCCACATGGTCTTTTTAATGTGGTGGTGGATTATCACGATTATCCTTTCAGTAACTTCTGTGAAATTTGTCCCTGTGCGCTTAGAAGAAAAAATGCAATTTAAAAAGTACATATAACATGACATTAATGGTGTAATGTTTAGTTATGCTTTTAAACATTCAACTAACCTGAGGGACTTTCTCCATATCACCAGCCAAAGAACAACGTGAAGACAAACAGAAGCTGCAGCAGAATTAAGCCTGATCTAATCCTGTAATCCTCTCTGAGTACTGGGACCTCAGTTTAACATCTGACACAAAGGACAGCACCTCCGACAATGCAGCACACCCTCAGCGGTGCACTGGAGTGCCAGCCCAGACTGTGAGCTCGAACAAAAAGAGCGGTCATCTTAATCATACCGTTCCATGCTTCCAATGGTGGGGGCCCTTATGCAAAGCAAAATTTTGTCTTGCAGCTGGAATTACCATTCAAACATTTAAAAACAAATTATCAATTCTATACACACATACACACATATGTCACATATATTCAAAAAATAAACACTGAGGATTTCTAAGATCAATAAATGAAACAAGAAACTATAACAGAGAAAGAGAAATTGCCATATTATTACATTTTTTAATAAAGATAGAGCCCTATATGGTATGTACAAGTGAAAGAACAATTTTATTTGCGGCAAATCGCTTTTCCGGGGGTAATCATTTCTTCAAAAACAATTAAATGATAAAAATTTGGTCAGTCAATCCATGACTGTTTGTGGTACACTGCTGTGCGCAATTGGCTGCCGCATTTCACCCACAAAATATATAGTCACTACACTTTACAGTAAATTCTGTGAAGCGCTTTGAGACGTCTCGAAGACATGATAAGGCGCTATATCAAATGCAAGGATTATTATTATTGTCTGTTCTTACTGTAACCAGGGTGGCTAGAAGTTAAAATACAGTATGTAGCCCAAAGTGAAACAAATATAACAACAACAACTTGGAATTATATACGCCCTCCACGCCAGACGGCATCTCAGAGCTCTTCAGAGTAACAGATCCCGGGGCCGAGCCAGGGGGAGGGGGAAGAAGGTGACCAAAGGCTCGGTCGAAAAGAAAGGTCTTCAGCCGAGATCTAAAAATAGGAAGAGAGGGGCGAGACGAAGGGAGTGAGGAAGAGAGTTCCAGAGCCTCGGGGCATAGTGGCCGAACGCACGGCCGCCGATGGTGGAGCGGAGGATTCGGGGGATAAGGAGGAGGCCAGACCCAGTGGAGCGAAGGCAACGTGCACTTTTGTGAGAAGAGAGGTCGGAGAGGTAGGAGGGTGCTGAGGAATGGAGGGATTTGAAGACAAGAATGAGGATCTTGAAGTCGATCCTCTTTGGGACAGGCAGCCAGTGCAGTCTGGCAAGGACTGGGGTAATCGGGGAGAGGAGTTTGGTGCGGGTAAGAATGCGGGCGGCAGAGTTTTGGATGACCTGGATTTTGTGAATGGTAGTGGAGGGGAGACCGGCGAGGAGGGCATTTGAGTAGTCCAGCCGAGAGGTGACAAAAGCATGGACCAGGGTTTCAGCGGCTTTTGGAGTGAGGTATTGGCGGAGACGGGCGATGGTCAGAGGTGGAAGAAAGCGGTGCTGGTGAGGGACCGGATATGGGGGAGGAAGGATAATTGGGAGTCGAACCTGACGCCGAGGTTGCGTACGGGTTCGGAGAGTTTTAGGGGGAGGTTGGGTAGGTGGAGGAGGTGAGAACCATGTGATTTTAGACGTTGACGAGTGCCAAAGAGTATGGCTTCCATCTTGGCAACATTTAGCTGAAGGAAATTTGCGCTCATCCAGCTCCTGATGTCTGACAGGCAGGCTGACAGAACATCAGGGACTGGGGGTCACAAAGTGAGGTGGAAAAATAGAGTTGAGTGTCGTCCGCATACATGTGGAAGTGTACTCCATGTCTGTGGATGACATCCCCAAGAGGGAGCATATAGATTAGGAAGAGGAAGGGGCCAAGGAGAGTAGGTAACCGGGTGAGAGCAGGAGGAAAAGCTGTTTGTGCAGATGTACTGCTGGTGGTTCATGAGGTCGGACTCGAACCAGGCGAGAGCGGTCCCACTGAGATGGATGACGGAGGAAAGGCGGTGGAGGAGGATGACATGATCAACTGTGTCGAAAGCGGCGGAGAGGTCCAGGAGGACAAGGAGGCAGAGGGAGCCCTGGTCACAGAAAGAGAGGATGTTGTTTGTGACTTTCACAAGTGCCGTCTCTGTACTGTGGGCGGAAACCGGACTGGAGGGGTTCGAAGAGGGAGTGGGAGGAGAGGTGTGCGCGGAGTTGATTGGCAACAACGCATTCTAGGACTTTGGCGAGGAAGGACAAGTTTGAATTAGAGCAGTAGTGGCCGGGGTTTGAGGGATCTCGGGAGGGTTTTTTGAGGAGGAGGGGTGATGACAGCAGTTTTGAGGGGGGCAGGGACTGATCCGGAGGAGAGGGACTGGTTGATGAGATCAGCCGGTAGTGGGCAGAGGAGGGGGAGCCGGGTGACCAGCGAGTTGGTGGGGAGGGGCTCGAGGCAGCAGCAGGTGGTGGGTTTCATTGAAGTGATGGTGGGTGAGAGGGAGGAAGGAGAGATGGGGAGGAAGGAATGTAGGATGGGGTTCGTGGTAGGAGCTGCTGATGGGGAGGATGAGGGGGACGGAGAGGGGGTGGTGGTGGGTGACAAGAGGCAGGAGGATGAGGTTGCCTGGCGGATGCTATGTATTTTGGTTGAAAAGAAGTCCGTGACCTCCTCGCACTTGGCATTAGATGTGAAAATTGAGGAGGCCTGAGGGGGGGGGTCACGGAGGAGGTGGAAAAAAGGACTTTGGGATTGTTTTTTGCCTCCAAGATGATGCTGGAGCAGAAGGCCATTTTCGCATGCGTCAAAGAACGGCGGTAGCTGTGGAGCTGCTCGAACCACAGTTGGCGGTGAACTGTCAGACCCGGTTTCTGCCATCTGCGCTCGAGCAGCCGGGTTTGGGTTTTTAGGCGGCGGAGATGATTGTTATACCGGGGGATCGGGTGGGTTTGGAGGTGGTCCTGGATTTCAGGGGGACGAGAGGGTTGAAGGTGGAGGAGCCCAAAATAGCGCTATATTATGCGTTGCTACGAATGAATGAGCAGCAGAGTGGCCAATTGATGTTATTGCTTTTAAAACTGTGTACAAGAAGGTATGGGGAGAGGGGTGTGGGGTGTGGGGTGTGGGCGGTGGTGGGGGTGTGGGGGGTGGGGGGGTGGGGGGGGGGGGGTTGCAGGTTTAAATTTAAAAAAATTAGGCACCCGTTTGTCTGGGGGCACAGTGCAAGGAAAACCCGCCCAATTGGGCGTGAACCCGCCCCACATTACCTGCGCGTGACCTGCAACGGTCGGGCGGGGCGGGCGGGGCGGGTGGCTGGGAGTGAGCACGTGGGTTCGTTCAGGTGACGTGTCGAACGGTCCAATCGGGGAGGCGTCAATCAGAGTGAGGCACCGCCTCCGCCTCCGCAAACCCCACCCCCCCCTCCCTCCCTCCCTCCCTCCCACGCGACGCACGCACGCACACGCCCCAGGGGCTCGGCTTGGCTCGGCCGCTCTCGCGCTGACAGACAAGAGCAAACCGATCAGGACCGGTTTGGGCTGGAGTCGTCACTAGGCGACCCGGCCTCCTTCTATAAAAGGGGCGGCCCGCGGCTGACTTGGCTTTATTCTCTTCTGCTGACAGACGGTGCGCGATCTGATCGGGACGGAAGGCTTGAATTTTTTTTTCCCCAACACAGACGGGTTTTACTCGATGGACAAAGACTTCGTAAATGTTTTATAAGGTACTTTTCCGGCTCAGACGCTCTCCCAGCGGCGTTGGCGTATTTTTTAATCAAAAAAAATTTCTCTCTCTCTATATCTATATATACGTGTGTGTTGACGAAGAAATAACCCAACGTGAAATGTGTGTGTGGTTCTTTTAAAACCAACTGCCGGTTTATCTCTCGGTAAAAACCGGCCGCGTGGCGTGAGGGTGGGGGGGTTGAGGTTTTATTTTGTGAGAGTGCTTTGCGTGGCGAGTGTGTCATTTATTTTATTTGAGTTTCCTCCCCCCCCCCCCCCGCCCACCACCGAAAGAAAGGAAGGGAACAGGTCTCGGGGAAGGTTCGGCGGTCGGGTGTGAATTGCCGAGTTTTTGTATAAAATTTTGTGTGGACGTTGGCACCTCGGGGTGGGTAGAAGAGAGGAATGATGAGGAATGAATCCAGAGCAAAGCGTGTGGCGGGGAGAGAAATGTCATGTAAAATGATGATAAATTGTCCAGCGGGGAATGGGAATGGAGGGGGAGAGGAGGGGAAGGAGGGTTTGTTAAGTTGCGGCGGGAAGACATTTTCCTCCTCTTTCCCCCCCCACCCCCCCCTCCGCCTTCTCCTGGAGCCGGACCGGCAGGTCACCCCACCCCGCAGCCCCACCGGGCGTCAGTCAGTCAGTCAGTCAGGGTTGTTATCCCCCGCTCTCCTCCACACCGGTGCCGCCGGTCAACCGTTAGCGCCCGTCCCTCCCCGTTCCTCTTCCCCTTCCCCTCTCCCCCGCCCTCCACCCCCATTGGGCGGGCAGCCCGGCCCCTGGCGCGCCGCTGCCTCTCATTCGCCGATCCGCGCGTCCGTCAAGCCGTGCGCCGCCGCTGATTGGCCGCGCGGCCCGGAATTGTGAGGAGGCGGTGCATGTGCCAACCCGCCCCCCGCGGGGGGGGGGGAGGCTGTGCGATGCTTCCGTTCCTGATGGCCGTGGGAGACCCTGTAACCCCGGGCAGGGAGGATGGTCGTTTCACAACGACGGTTTGCGCGACATTTTGTGAGTTACTTCCCGATGACTTGTTGGCGTGTGTGTGAGTGAGTGTGGCGCTGGGCGCACTTGGCTGCCGCGTTTCGCCCACAAAGTACGATCGATCCGCTTTGCCACGTATCTCTGCGGTAGCGCTTTGAGACGCCTCAACGGTGGGATAGGGCGCTGGGTCGAATGCGAGGCTTTACAGTCCCCACAGCGATTTACAGTCGATTCATTTTACAGTATTCTGTAAAGCGCTTTTGAGACGCCTCGAAAGGCGCTATATCAAATGCAGGGATTATTATTTGTAGCTTCCTGCTGTGGCTATAATACAGGCAGCGAGCCATACAGGGTGGTTTGTGTTTGATGGTAGTTTTCCTTCTGGTAGTCACCTGTCCCTAACACTTTTTTTTAAAAAAAACTTCTTTTGCAGAACAATCAAATCAGAAAATTGTACAACGGCTACTCAGAGGGCCTTCGATTTTTGCTGTATCTTAAAGTATTTTCCTTTGTTGGAGAGCCACCTTGGAGACGCAGCTGACTTCTGCTTTTGAGCTGAGATTTCATCTCTTACTTGGCCATGTATGTAAATTTAATTAAGTGTTGATATTGTATTCATCATGTTTCAGATATCAAGCTGATGATTCACTTTCCATTTTCAGTTTGTTGCATATCGCAAATTCTTAATTCATCAAGCTTCCTAAGGATATCAAAATGAATGTCTTTACCGATGATGACTTTGAATTTGCCTTCCTGGAAGAAGGATTCAATGCTAGAGATATTCTGGAGAGAAAAATAAATGAAGTTTCTCTTTCAGTAAGTATTTTTAGTGTTGCTTGGTGTAAGTTTTTTTTTCTTGCATAAAGAAATAGCTTCCAAATTTAGATATATTCCTTTTGGTTCTAGGATGACAAAGATGCTTTTTATGTTGCTGATTTGGGTGACATTGTGAAGAAGCATTTGCGCTGGCATCGAGCCCTTCCTCGAATCACTCCTTTTTATGCTGTTAAATGCAATGATGAGAAAGCAGTGGTGATGACTCTTGCTGCTATGGGTGCGGGATTTGACTGTGCCAGCAAGGTATGATTGTATTCTGACCAATATTTGCATAATTTTTTACATTTCTCTTTAAATGTGTGCTAATAAGTATCTCATCATTCTGCACAGAATGAAATTCAAATGGTGCAGAGCCTTGGCATTCCTGTTGAGAAAATAATCTATGCCAATCCATGCAAACAAGCATCTCAAATCAAGTATGCTGCAGCTCATGGTGTACAGTTGATGACATTTGATAGTGAAGTGGAGCTGGTGAAAGTAGCACGGTGTCATCCAGAAGCAAAGTAAGTTGTTCGGTTGTTAAACTTTTGCCTTGTTAGGCTGGTGTGTAAGGAAATATCATGTCATTGCATTACAAGATCTTTAAAATTTAAGTTTATTTGGGAATGTCAATAATAATAATCGTTGCGTTTGATATAGCACCTTATTACGTCTTTGAGACATCTCAAAAGTACTCACAGAATATCCTGTAAAGTGAATTGGCTGTATATTTTGTGGGTGAAATGCAATAGCCATTTGTGCCCAGCAGTGTCCCACAAACAGTTGTGGATTGAATTACTGGAATATTTTTTTAAAAAGAATTATTGCCCCCTGAAAAGTGATTTGCCATTTGTCTAACAACCGAGTTCCTACTTACTGCTAGGTAAACTGAAATGTGTGGAGTAAGAAAACTTACCCAATGTTCCACCCTGCCGGTAATCAAACCTAGATCCTCTTGCTTGCAAGGCGATTGCTCTAACCATTACGCTACAGGGCTCCACTGAAGAGTAGAAAGTTAAAATAACTAGTTTTGTATTTTAACAAGTTATTTGTGAGAAGGTTCAAAGTTTTTCCAATCCCTGTATAATGTTTTTGACTTGTGCCCTAAGTCCTGGACATGCACATGTCCAATCTGAGCAAGTTTTATTGTCTTAAATACAACAACAACAACAAGATTCCATTTATAAAGCGCCTTTCACGTCAGGAGGACGTCCCAAGGCGCTGCACAGTTGGGTCATGACCCGAGCAGGGGGGAAATGGTCAGGGTGAGGGAGGGAGGGGAGGGAGCGAGGAGGGGGGAAATGATCAGGGTGAGGGGAGGGAAGGGAGGGAGCGAGGAGTGGGAAGAGAGTCGAGAGGGGAGCTGAAGGCACGGTCAAAGAGAAAGGTTTTGAGACCGACCTTGAAGGAGGAAAGGGAGGAAGCAAGGCGAAGGCACTGGGGGATGGAGTTCCAGAGCCTGGGGGCTGAGAGGCTGAAGGCCCGACCACCGATGGTGGGCGGGGACGTGGAGCAGACCGGAGCCAGAGGAACGGAGGGTACGGGCAGGTAAGTAGGGGATAGTAGGTTGGAGAGGTAGGAGGGAGCAAGGCCGTGAATGGCCTTGTAGGTGAGGATGAGGATCTTGAAATCAATCCTCTGGGGGATGGGGAGCCAGTGGAGGCGAGCGAGGGTGGGAGTGATGTGGTCCCGAAGTCTGGTGCGGGACAGAACGCGAGCTGCAGAGTTCTGAATGACCTGCAGCTTGTGGAGGGAGGTGGCGGGAAGGCCGGCGAGGAGAGAGTTCCCGTAGTCCAGCCTTGAGGTGACAAAGGCGTGAACCAGGGTTTCAGCAGCGTGAGGGGTGAGGTAATGGCGTAGTCTGGCGATATTCCGGAGGTGATGGAAGGCGGTGCCAGTTGTGGTGCGGATGTGAGGGAGAAAGGACAGCTCAGGGTCGAACAAAAATATACTGTTGACTCGTAATGTTAATTTGGCAAATTCACGTAAATGTAACTTGCTTTTCTATAATATGCAGAAGTTGTAGAGATTTTTAATCTTCAGCCACTTGTTACTTTGCCTTTTTCACAGGAGACCATTTCTATTATTTGGCATTTACAAGACTTTGATGCAGTGGCCATTTGTTTACAATTTAAATAAAGTGGAACATTCACTAAGATAGGTTGTATTTTAAGGAATGAAATCTATGTTCCCTGAAACGTTGAATAGGGCAGGTATATAACCTTTTTCAAAATATACTTAAGCAGTTCAGTAAAGTGTAGATTGCAGGGTTCTTCCAGTGCAAAATAAAACCGACTGTAAAGTGAATGAGGGACATTTTTGTACTCCAGTATAATGAATACAAGATGTACATAATGAATACAGGAGCAGCTCCTGAGAGTTTGGCCAATCGGGGTAGTCTTTTGGGGTCTCATCAGTTTTTAAAAGAATGTAATATGCATAATACTACTAAGCCAGTTTTGTTTAGGAGTCCTGTAGAGTGTTGGTTAGAGCACTCGCCTTGCAAGCAAGAGGACTTGGGTTCGATTCATGGACATTAGAGAAATTTCCTTAATCCGTATATCTCTGTTTACTTAGCAGTAAGTAGGAACCCAGATAGTTTTCGATTGGTGGATTGCTTTTCCGGTGTGTTATCTGGCAGATCTTAATTCCAGGATGTTTCATGTGCAGGTTTTTCACATTCTAGGTTGCCTGTGGTGGTTCAGCTACTGGATATTGGATTCTCCTTTAAACCGTTTCATTGACATCTTAGAGCTAACGTCAAATCCTGACGTAAAATGCATCCAACTCTTCCTCTGTCCTAGGCTGGTTGTGCGCATTGCTACTGATGACTCCAAAGCTGTCTGCCGCTTGAGTGTGAAGTTTGGAGCAACACTTAAGACCTGTAGGTTACTTCTTGAACGTGCCAAAGAGCTGAAAATTGACGTTATTGGAGTAAGGTTAGTAGATCTGTACATTGTAACCGTACATAGATTGTATTGTTTATGCTCATTTTGATTTTAAGATTTTGGAAACGCATTACAAACTTGCATTATATAACCTTCATATCGGGAGGGCGTCCAAGGTGCTTGACAGCTCTAGCTTGGCATCGAGTTGAGGGTGGGAGTCGGGAGGGAGAATATGGTGGGGGGTGGAGAAGGCTGACCAAAGGCAGTTAAAAAGAAAAGTTTTGAGATGGATCTTGAAAGCTGTGAAGGAGGGGCCAAATCAGTTTGAAATGACTCAAAAGGTGTGTAGAAGTTTGGTTTGATATGTGGAAAGAGTATAGAAGTCTTAGTTCTTCCCAATAGTTTGACCAACTAGCAGATAGTTAAGAAATGTAAATGGGGCTGGCAACTATGAATATTGAACCTTGATTGAGAGTTATAACATTTTTGCAAGTTTATAAATTCAGATTTGACTCATTTAACCAGTATCAGAATATTTATTACCTACCAATTTGATTTCTTGCTACGAGTTCTTCAGGATTGCTTTTCCCTCCCCACTCGCACTTTCAGTTGGTAGGCCCTGATATAGTGAAATGACAACTAATGACTCTTACAGTCTGTGTTTAAATGGGTAAATTGGATCCAGGCTACTTATCTCGCAGGCTGTAGTAATAATGATAATAATCCTTGCATTTGATATAGCGCTTTTCACGTCTTCTCGACATCTCAAAGTGGCTCACAGGATAGACTGTAAAGTGAATTGACTGTGTGTGTGTGTGTGTATATATATATATATATAGACTGTATATAGGCTGTAATGCCTCTTGCTAGGTAATCATGTTTGTCCCTCTTTCTGCATATAGAATATTCATTTCTTCAGCAGATTTGTCTTAGACTAATTGGTTTCCTTTTTACAAAGCTTTCACGTGGGAAGCGGCTGTACTGATGCCCAGATATTTACCCAGACCATTGCTGATGCTCGTCTGGTCTTCGATATGGGGGTAGGTATTTCCATCACTTTGAATATTAAATGTATGAGCTGAATTACTTCAGTGTGCAAATGTCATCCATTGCTATTCATTTCTGAATTTTTGTTTTGTTCAAGATTTTAAAACTAGCTATTGAATTTACAAAAGTTCATACCCAAGTTGGATTTGGATGCAGCATATTTTATTTAACGGGTTAATATGGAATAAGTAGTCTCTTCCAGTACTGATGCAGTTCTTGGTTTTAGGCAGAATATGGCTTCAACATGCACCTGCTTGATATTGGTGGTGGCTTCCCTGGTTCTGATGATGGAAAATTCAAATTTGAAGAGGTAAGAAGTGAGTGAGTGATGCTTGTCTTAACACAAATTTTGCTTTGAAAATTGCAAGTGATCAACTGTAATGTACTTTTTTTTTTTAGTTTGCTGCTGTTATCAACCCTGCACTTGACAGATATTTCCCGGCTGATTCTGGTATCAAAGTCATTTCTGAGCCTGGTCGTTTCTACGTGGCATCTGCCTTTACATTGGCTGTCAATATTATTGCTAAGAAGCTTGTCTTTAATGAACAGGCCGGCTCTGATGGTAGGTATTAAGTAGTTATGTGACATGCTCTCCTTTTGGTCAAATTATTTTGAGGTTGTTTTGAAACCAGCATTTTGAGCTTGTTGTGTTGAAGATTAAGTGCATCGGTAAAATATCCCTAACTTTCCAAGCGAAAGGGTTTTTCTATTGTGCTTGGTCTATTTTTGAAGCCTTTGGGACTTCTTTGGTAAACTGGGTGGCTTTCAGCCACTATGCCCCAAGACTCTGGAGCTCTCTCCCTCAATCCCTCCACCTTTTCCCCCTCCCTACCCACTTTCAAATCCTGCCTAAAGTCCTTTTTGATCTTGTTTACGGTCAGCTCCTTCTTCCCCCTAGCTCAGTATTACTCTGCTACTGTCAAGTGATCCAGGATGCTACCCTGTGTGAAGGGTGCTGCATAAATGCTCGGTTTTGTTGCACAATCTGAAACCCACGTTCCCAGTTTATCTGGAGAGTTTGGGTTTCCGGTTTGTAAGACCCAAGGCTTGGGAACTTCAGGATGTGAGGTTAGGGTACTCCTGGAGTATAACAAACAAATCTTTAATAAAATATAATAATAAAAACCCTTTGGGCTGAGGGCAGTAATAGATTCTGATGTTTTGCAATAAAATAAATGACAAGAATGTGAGGTCACTTATTTGTTCCAGGACTGTAATCAGTCTTCAAGCTAAACTCTGGGGATTTGATAATTGTGCAAGGCATTACATAAAAGTGTTTTAATAGTTCCATACATAGCATTCATGAACTTGGAGCGATGCAGGAACATTCATGAAATAGTGTATGACCTGTGTAGATGAAATGCTATGGTGAAACATAACCTACATGTACTTTTTCTTTAAAGATGAAGAAGATGGTAGTGATGAAGGAACATTTATGTACTATGTAAATGATGGTGTATATGGATCATTCAACTGTATACTCTTTGATCATGCTCATGTCATGCCAGTTCTTCTCAAGGTAAATTTCTTTAATTCTTAATTTCAACAATTTTATTTGTTGCATGTGCAAGGATTCTAACTTCTGTTTTTGTCTTTAGAGGCAAAAATCGGATGAGAAACTGTATTCAAACAGCATCTGGGGCCCAACTTGTGATGGGCTTGATCGTATTGTAGAGTGTTGCAACTTGCCAGAGCTTCAGGTTGGAGACTGGATGGTGTTTGAGAACATGGGTGCTTACACCCTTGCTGCTGCCTCAACATTTAATGGCTTCCAGAGACCCCAGATCCATTACGTTATGTCAAGGCCAACCTGGTAAGAAACTTACATGGAGTTGGAAGAAATTTCTTTCTTGTAACTTTCTATACCATAATAGTTAAGCATAATTATTTTCTAAAGGGGAAGACGTCTGGACTAGAGAATATTATTCAAATATCCTATAGAAAATAAGGATTATTGTAAAAGTATAGATTTACTATCATCCCACATTACCTGGAAGTTTTAAACAGGAGCCATGCGTGATGCTCCGTTGAATTTAGTGTCAGCAGGAATGGTCACCCTCTGACTGGCTAAGGAGTATTTGGTACCCTGTATGAGCCTAGAGATTGTCTCAGCTATTAGACCATGGAGCTAATCTCTGACCCTATGGTCGTCTTTCCTTGCCAAAAATCCAGCCAAACTTCTCGCAGTGTGGTTTAGTTTTCCATTTTAGAAAATATTACTAACTTCCTCTTGGCTGGCATTGACCACTGCCCTGTGTGAGCAGTCCATATCGAACCTGGATTCTCTTGCTGTATTGAAACTAATTGACTTATTGCTCTGTGCAGTCATTAATCTTTCATGCAGTGCAGTTTGCCATCTATTATGGTGTTTCAGAATCTGTTTCAAGTTGCGTCTAACAAGTTATTCTATTTCTAGGCAGTTAATACAGCAAATCAAGGAAGATGTGCATCTCCCTGAAGCTGATTCACATAATGCTGGTGGTACTGTATTGCCATCCTGTGCCTGGGAAAGTGGACAAGAACTTCTTTCATCCTCGTGCACCTCAGCAAGAGTTAGTCTAAACTATTGCATGGAGTTCCTTAACCAGCCAGTTGACAATTAAATTGGGTAACATTTTAAAGTGGATTTCTGGGACCAGTAACTGAAGCAAAAAACTTTTACTTGTATTTAAAGATTAAATCAAAATTTGTGTATGCAACAAAATGGTTGACTAGGAGATGGGATCATTCTATTTGTTCCTATGGAAATCTGTTTACACTTTTATAACATTTTGTATTTTTATTTGAGCCACAAATAAAAGTCGAATTAAAGTCTTGTTGTCTTCAAGTTGCATTTACAAGGATCAATGGTGGAAAATGCAGAATCTTGCAATCTTGAAGAGTAGCATTTTAGTTTTAAAACTTCTGAGGTAATACCAATGTGACAAATTATGTACATATAACACTTTTCACATTCAGAGAACATCTCAAATTGCTTCACAGTGCTGGGTGCGCACCTGAGTTGGGCTGATGTACCTGAAACCCGATGTCCTCCCAATGTGAAAGTTTGCAATTTGTTGTTGGAAAAGAATGATCAAACGACTTGTATAGCATCCCTCACACGGTAGTCTCACAAAGCTTGACAGTGGTAGAGCATGATGCTGAGCCAGGGTAGGTGACTAAGCACAGTTGAAGAGGAAGGTCTTCAAGCATGACCTGAAAAGGAAGGGGCAAGATGGAGGGATAGAGAAGGAGTGTTCCTGAGTGTAGTGGCTGAAAGCGTGGCCACCAATGGTGGAATTGAGAGAATGAGGCTGGAGACAGTCGAATGGAGGCAGTGAGTTGGGGAGTAAACAAGTCAGAGGTGCAGGGGCATGAATAGATTTGATAGAAGTATGAGGATCTTGAAATCAATCAGTTTGGTGATAAGGAGCCAGTGGAGCCTGGTTAGAACTGATGTGATGGGGGTATGTATTTTAGTATGGGTAAGTATGTGAGTGACAGGAGTTTTGGGTCAGCTGGATTTTGTGGATGGTGGAGATAGGGAGGTAAGTGAAGAGGGCATTTGAAAAATCCAGGCTTTTTCAAATGTGCCATGAAATGAATGAACTGGAGGGATTCCAGAGAGCAGGTGCAAAATGTTAAATGCCTGCCTGTTGATACTAGGGGCAGACAGGACATGAAGCGAGTGGATGATTGCTAAGCAAATGGGTGGCCAGGTTGGTAGGAACCTGTGGGAAATTTCCAGCATTGAGGACAATAGCTTTGTAGAAAGCTGTAATCTCAGGCTTGAGCGGTCCAAAATGTAGCTGCTCTATTTGGAAAAGAATGTACCCAATAAATGTGCTTTTTTTGGATAGGCAGTTTTACTCCAATGACTGACAGCATTCTGTAAGTTATGGGAAGTGGAAAGTTGTGTAGTATTTGTATTTCATAAGGTAAATGCAATCATCCAATACGCACAGAATTGCAGGATTGGTAAACTTTTATAATGCTTATAATACCACGAAATGGTTTGTAGTAAATGTGTCTGACAAATATGGCAGCTATGAAGCAATGAACTGACTTGATTTTAATCTGTAATGCCCTTCTAATAGTTATCAAAGTTTAGTTCTGTACTCTGAAGCTAGTGAGGTAGTCCTTGGTTTAATGGTTTATTTGACGGATGACATCTCAACCTGCACTCCTGAGTCCCCTGTAGCCTTTCAAACCCAGTCCACAATTCAACAGATGACTGGGCTAAACTGTCAATTATTAATTTGGTCTGATCCTTGTCATTTTAGTTGATGTTTCATGTTCTGACGTGTCTACTTAACACACTGTTGAAGTACATGGTTAATAGATCTTGACTCCCATTCTAATTGAGTGCAAATATAGCAATACACAGCTTGTGGTGACCTCTGATTTCTCAGTGCAAGAATTAGCTTTAAACTTCTGTCCAGTTTCTCAGTAGTGGCTTGCAGAGTCCGTGCCTAGTGATGCAATGCTGCTGCCATCTGCTGTTTCATTCACAAACAACCAGATTTCCTCAATGTTGTTTTACAGTTCCACTTGTACTTGATTGAGAGAGGTTTAGTTCCAACCCACATTTCTTGCATTAATTACAATTTACGTTAGAAAGAAATGAGTTCCTCTTTGTATTTCATGTTGGGTCTACCTAGGCTGATGTTCTTAAGCGGTGTTAGGGAACAGGGTAAGTATTATTATGAAGGATGCTCCTGATGGAACAGATATGTAGATAATTACAGACATAGCTATGGAAAAAAAATACTTCATTTACATTTTTGTAAAAGGAAATTTAAGGTCTAAAAGTCAAATATAGTAGAAAAATTTAATAATAAATATGGCTTTTACATCAGGATATCTGAAAATGCTTCACCATACAGTCTTTTCACTGTTTTGGCTGTTTTATGGACCAATGCAGCAGCCAATTCACATACAATTTTCCAGAAACTTCCATGAAGCAAATGACCAATTTTATTTGGAGGACTGTTGGCCAGGGCAGCAGGAGAAACTTCCTTCTTTTTGAACAGTACCATGGGATCATTAACATCCACGTGGAAACACGGCACCTCCAACAGCGCTCCCCAGCACTGCATTGGAGTGTCATCTTAGACGATGTGTGTTCCAAGTCCTATCATGGGGCTTGAGCCCACAACCTGACTCTAGGGATGATTGTGCCACCAACTGAGACAAACTGACATTTACTGCTGTCGTACCACACCAGCATTGGAATTGAAGATGTCAAATACCTTCAAGCTGTTTTTCTTCAAAACAAATGTACCTTTATATCCAGGTATCTGAAGTGCAGGTAACTTTTTCACAAGTAGAAACAGTCTTTCTGTGTGAATGTCTCTCTATCTATATATTTGTGAGTGGCACAATTTTGTAATTGCAACAACAAGAGACTCTGAAATCCATACTGATGGAATCACTTTTATTCTTAGGCTTACATCGCTCTCGGGGCCAGTGTTTTTTGTGATGGTGTAACACGGCCCTGGCGGTTTCCTTGATTCATTGAAAGGAGATCAGATTGTCCAGTTAGACTTATTCAGGGCTGTAGATGCAGCTTTATCTAAGTCACTGCCTAACGTTTCTTATATACTGTCTCCTGCTATTTTGTTCCTGGGATGGTCACTTTAGCCCATTTTCGGTCAGACCCACTATAGTGTGTTCCTCGCGTTGACGAAAGTCCTGATCTTCCCGTATGGAAAGATTGTTCAACCATTGGCTAGGTTCTCCAATCACACATTTCCGAAGGACATGAACTCCTTTTCAAAACAAAGAAAAAGCGTAGGTTTTACAGTGAAGTAGAAGCAGCTGAAGTATTGCTAAATCTACAACAGACAACCTATAAATGTCAACCGATGTGATACGGCGCTAAATGAAATGCAAGGATCATTGTTATTAAGTTATTCCAAAGCACATTCATGGTATTAGAGGAAGCGTATGTCCTTCACTTATTATGAAGGATGCTCATTTGGGGTTTTGCTGATGCCACAGATTTGCAGATAACTGCAAACGAGGCTACAGGAAACAAATACTTTCTATGTTTGTATTAAGAGAATTTAAGGTCTAATATTCAAAAATATACAGTCCAAATATTTATTGTTCATAATAATACTTACATTTGTTACAACGGCTTTAACATAGGAGCGCTTTTGACTGTTTTAGCAACACAGAATTAGGAGCAGGAGTAGGCCAATCAGCCCCTCGAGCCTGCCCCACCATTCAATAAGATCATGGCTGATCTTCTAACCTAACTCCATTTGCCCGCCTTATCCCCATATCCCTTAATCCCTCTGTCCTTCAGAAATCTATCAATCTCAGTCTTTAATATGTTCAAAGACTGAGCATCTATAGCCTTCCGGGATAGAGAATTCCATAAATTCTCTGCCCTCTGAGTGAAGAAGTGTTTCCTCAACTCTGTTCGAAAGCTCTGTCTTTAATCTTAAGACTGATGCCTAGTTCTAGATTCTCCTATCAGGGGAAACAGTCTCACGCTGTCTATTCTGTCAAGTCCCATAAGAATCTTATATGTTTCTATAAGATCATGGCTGATCTTCTAACCTAACTCCATCTGCCCGCCTTATCCCCATATGCCTTAATCCCTCTATCACCCTTAATTATTCTATATTCTAGAGAATAAAGGCCTAGTTTGCTCAACCTATCCTCACAGGTCAACCCCCTCATCCCAGGCACCAACCTAGTGAATCTACGCTGCACCCCCTCTAAGGCGAGTATGTCCTTCCTCTCAGAAGGAGACCAAAACTGCACACAACAGGTTCGGTCTCACCCAAGGCCTGATACAGTCGCAGCAAGACTTCCCTACTCTCGTATTCGAACCCTTTTGCAGACAACTACAAACATAGCTACAGGAAATAAATACTTTATTTAGATTTTGTATTAAGAGAATTTAAAGTCTAATAGTCAAAAATAATTGCAGAAATATTTATTATTCATAATAATACTTACATTTGGTATAACGCCTTTAACATCAGAAGGACGTCCAAAAGTGCTTTTGACTGTGTTTGGTGGACAAATGTGGACAGAACAATTTTCCAGAAACTTCCATGAAGCGAATGACCAGTCTTATTTGGAGGATTGTTGGCCAGGGCACCAGGAGAAACTTCCTTCTCTTTTTGAATAGTACTGTGGGATCGTTAACATCCACCTGAAAACACAGAGGGGACCTGGGTTTAACGTCTCTGAAACACGGTACCTCCAACAGCGCTCCCCAGCACTGCATTGGAGTGTCATCTTAGACTATGTGTGTTCCAAGTCCTATCATGGGGCTTGAGCCCACAACCTTCTGACTCTGGGGATGATTGTGCCACCAACTGAGATAAACTGACATTTACTGCTGTCGTACCACACCAGCATTGGAACTGAAGATGTCAAATACCTTCAAGCTGTCTTTCTTCAAAACAAATGTACCTTTATATCCAGGCATCTGAAGTGCAGGTAACTTTTTCACAAGTAGAAACAGTCTTTCTGTACATTTCAGGTTCTTCAGTTTTTTCAAATCCACCTCAGATGTAAAGAACATTTTTCCAGAGACTTGTTCCACCTAACAAGAAAGAAGGCAAGAAATGACAATTTCCATTTGTTGACCAGACTTGATGCAAAACAATCTTTTTGGATTTTTGACCGACTATTCCTTTATTAATTCAGTGCATTTTACTCACATTAGAGGTGGACAGTTTCAGACACACTTCCTCCACTCCATGTCTCTGCTGTCTGGCAGTGCAGAAATATTGGGTCCCGGGTGGGAGGCACCTTCCGTCCCGTCAGATCTTCTGTTAAATTGGTTGAGGGAGGTAAGTGTT